CGACGACGGACAATCACTCATATGATAAGCTCCGCTCGACAAAGTCGACAGCGGAGCTAAAAATATGTTATAATTTATTTTTCTAGGGACAGGTGCATCATTTAACCATTGACAGGTAACTTTAATTTTTAATTTCAATCCCTAAAGAGTATATAAGGAAAATGAAGAGCAATGGAGAGAAGGACAAGGTGTATCGGGGAGTATAAGTAAATAGTGCATTTCCAATAACCCAACCTGACCTAGTTTTTGCATCCCAACCCTCCATATTTTTATGGCTCAACTGGAAATGAGGATGCTAACTTCCTAGTTCTAGCTGCATAACAAATTCTTCACAGGAAAGTATCAGCCGGGACATGTACACAGTCATGAATTATGGAAATATGCTCCAGACATTAACAATATACACAAACATTAATTATGTTGCTATAATAATTGAACGATTAACTAAATAAAAAAAAATATGAAAAAACAAGTTATACCAACATACTCTATATTTTTGTTTTTGATGTTAAAAACAACAACACTTTATTGGACTAAAGAAGACCGAGTACAAGTATATTGCAGAAAGTACATTCTATGTAGAAAGAATACTGAAGGAGATGAGTGAAGAATACACAAGGGAAGAAAAGAATGGCTGGTGTTTTACAAGGGATTAACAATCACATAGGCATTAAACTATAAAAGATGTTGCATGCGATCATGTGTGTAAGCTGCAGTGGGACTGATGAGATGCATGCAAGCACCAATGATGGATTGCCACTCACCTTTTTTGCATCATTTGAATTGGTAGGTGATAAGGATCCTGGATTTGCTGCCACTGCATTGGCAATTGCTGTGGCTCCATTCTGTCCGGTGCTTTGGGGTAACAGTTCGTCAGAACCTCTCTGTGGTGGAAAGAAGAAGAGAGACAGAAACAGATTGTGAAGTTAGTTATATGAACAAGCAGCACTGTAAAGTGGTCAGAGGTTAAGAGAATGGTGAATTCATAACATAATTCTGCGCATGCATAGACATTAGAAATTCGCAAGAAATTAAGGGGAAAGGATGGAATGAACAGCATTAATCTTTAAACGATACAAATCAATCTCGGGAGCAGTGTCACATCATGCAGGAAACATTGCGGTGTCTGTAGATAGATAGATGACATGGATACTATCACACAAGTATGTGTACTACACACAAGTATGTGAAAACATATATACAGGACATAGCTACATCATGTAAACACCATGTCATACCAGTTCATTCCAATGCCAAGCATCTGTACATTATTTTGAGAAGACCAACCACTGAGATGGTACTCAAGAAATTAATTCAATTAACAATCACGGTAACTCTTTTCAGCAACCAGATCAAATCACCTCACGAGCGAGTAGATAAGAATGAAACTGGATTCATGTTTAAAATTGGGTCATGAAATAACCAGTGTTGTTGAATACTTTGATTGGCATATGTTACAGTACAAATATGTTAAGACTATAGCATATCAAACCGGATACACAACCTCCTTATGCTCTAATTGCATATTGATTTCTTCTGTAACTGTCAAAAACACCCTCCACGTAAGAATTCGAGATATTATATCACTTCAACAGGTTCACTCTAAACTCGAACTTGTGATGAAAATGCAGTCATTCAAATTACAGGAGCCATGTATGTATGTATTCACGCATGGTTCCCCCACTTAAGATTTGAACATAAACTTGGGTTATGTCACCTTGACTTTCTTTATTTACCCATCAATTCACAAAAAGCAGGTTATTGTTTTCTCAATTGGAAAAGGTGTCTGGTTTAACATTCTTCGAGCTTTCAGTGTTTAACCAATATTTAATTTCAAAAATCACAGACTGCCAACTTGTATACATTAAGATAAAAAAATGCTTCATTTGTTTTGGTTAGGATTCACAGTGTGGTTTCCACAAAATGGTTTGTTTGTTATTGCAAGGTACTGTAGGTGGGTGGCACAAGTTCATGGGTGGGTGACTGGCCTCAGGACTCCTTGACATTGCTAATAGATGTATAGCAAAGAGCACAACCAGTTGATAAGAATTTATAGTTAACAGAAGAATATGGACATATTACACTAAATAACATAGCCAGCATACCCAGCATTTTCTTGGCAGCATTTTCAGAATGGTTATGCTCCAGAAGTTCAATAATACACGTTAGGACTCACAACATGGTTTCTACAAAACACATATCGTACATGTTGTATACGTGTATAAAGAAATGAGGAAAAAAAACGTGTCTGAGGCATAAATTAGGTGAATATTCATGTCTCCTATCAGAATATGAGCTTGTGATCAACGCATGGGAACATAGACGATTACAATCATATTGCTTGTTTACTAACAAAGCAACGTCAGCAAATACGAAATATTTTGGACTGAGAGGTGTGACAGAAATGCAGGGCCTGGACTCAATGGAGACATCTAATGCCAATGCCTTGATGCTCAATTAGTTTGCATTGGTGCCCTTCAAAATTTTTTGTACTATTCTCCTATGCCAGGGCAATTTTATCAATTGATTGACCCCCCCCCCCCCCCAACTGTGGGGGTCAAGCTCTGCAACAGTAATTGACTGACAAATGCAGCAATATAACAATCAACAGCTGATCACAATTCAAATGAAGCCCAACACGATGAGATTCACTGAAAGCTTGAGCTAAATTCTCACAAATTCAGATGAAATATTTCACATAGAACTCACCTAAACCCCCACTAACCCTTCACATGTAGCAAAGATTACGTGTACCTTGAAGCTTAAATGCGTGTGTTTGCAACAGGTAACAAGTGAAACTTTAACACATCAGTTACCATCCAGGTGATATCAGATTACTAATTAAAACAGCATAGTCCGTCAAGCTCTACTAGTCAATTCAATTAAATTCCACAATCCATTATAAGTTTTTTGTAGCAAATTTAACACAAACAAAACACAGCAAATAGCAAGCACAGATTGCTTTCCCTCTTTTATATGCATCCCATCCATCCATCCACCTGCAGTTTAACTGTAACCATGGTAACAACAAATGACTTCCGAGCGATAGTCATTTCCTTGTGTGTAAAGCATATTAAAGCGTCTCCACCATATAAAACAGTGCACTACTTATAATGGTACAGTTTTTATGCAGCGTTTCAACACATGCGATTTCTATTCTAAGAACCATTTTAAAATATATTTAAAGAGAGTGGAACTTAATCTGTGAGTAATTGCCTTTCCTACAACGAACACTCAGAGGAATAGTTTAGTTCTAGTGGAGCTCCTTGGCGTTCTAAATATCACGAAGGGCAAAAACGTTGTGATGTTGTAGGGATTGAATTTTGAGCATAATGTTGGAAATATCCATATTTTCGCACCACGATAAATGTTTAATAGGCTTCGCATGAAGTACAACCCCAAGTATTGAAAGGTCAATATTATGCATATGACAGAAATCCCACTGCCAGGCCCGGATGTTTACAGACTATGCAAGATATTTTTATGATTGATAAGACTATCCTGCAGTCATATTTTCATGAATGAACAGACACTCTTCATCTTCTTTTTTTTTAACTGCGGTACTGATTCTTTCTAAAGCTACTAAGTCTTGCTTTAAATAATAATTGGTCTATAAATAATACTTTTAAAAACTTTAAAAAAAAAAATTATCACCAGTCAGGAAACAAAACGTCATTATACATGTATGATGGTTTATCTGTAGTTTCAACCACATTTGTGGGAATCAGCAATTACATGTCATGTCTATGTTTGAGATACATGTACAAGGTGACATGGACAGACAAAAAAGACAATCGAATGAAGATAAAATTTCAAACGAACATGACTAATATAGCAGTGACAGTATTACAGATTTACAAAACGTGACAAGACTGCAAATATAGATAACCAGCAAGGAAAAAGGATGTTCTTTTGATAATAACATCATGCAAACATATTTCTAAGCCATGCAAGGAAATAGATGACAGGAGTCCTTATCAGTAATGAACACAATGTTCATCTACTTTCGGCCGAGGCTTCAACCACTATGAGCCTAAGGCTTTGCTCCAACCATGTGGTGCCAACGACTTTAGATCCAACCACTGCAACACCTAAGACTCAGCTCCAAGCACTGCAGTACCTAAGGCTCGGATCCAACCACTGCAACACCTAAGACTCAGCTCCAAGCACTGCAGTACCTAAGGCTCGGATCCAACCACTGCAACACCTAAGACTCAGCTCCAAGCACTGCAGTACCTAAGGCTCGGATCCAACCACTGCAACACCTAAGACTCAGCTCCAAGCACTGCAGTACCTAAGGCTCGGATCCAACCACTGCAACACCTAAGACTCAGCTCCAAGCACTGCAGTACCTAAGGCTCGGATCCAACCACTGCAACACCTAAGACTCAGCTCCAAGCACTGCAGTACCTAAGGCTCGGATCCAACCACTGCAATACCTAAGGCTTGACCTCCCATGAGATAAGCCTATCAGATGCCAAAAGCTTGATCCCACAATCCTCCATCATAGGCGCACAAGGCTTTACCCAATCAGAATATGTATCCACCACAGGCACTTAAGACTATCACATTGAAAGCTATATCAAACCAGGTTTCACCATGCTTTCTCTTGCAATACTTCAGTTAGCACAATTAACTCATTTGTCACACTCTTCACACTGTCTTCACCTAATACAGGCAATAGTTTAAGGACTGACCTGAGACTGTACACGACCAGACAGTATCACCACATGGCATGACCCATCATAGTCAGGTTTCATCATAATATCCTATCGAACCTGGCACCATTAATTACCCCCCCCCCCAGAATCATATTCATAGTTTATGTGAAGCAAATGAATAACAGACTGTTTTGAAATGAAAACTGTTCTACTGCAGAAAAAAATCTATTCATCTTAGAACAACTAATTCATGTTTCAATTCCTTTTTTATTAACTACTGCACATACATGATCCTACATATCCATTTTAATTATACAAAACTAAAATCTGTTATGATTTCACTTTAATTGATACAATTAGCTCAATTTGCATTTTACACAATACATTTATAATGCAGTGAATATGAGCACCAGTCTTGTAAAGACATAGTATTATTTAGTTAGTAATAATATAATTCAGTTACTAGGAGCCACAATATTAGTCAAACTAAGTGCAAGACATATATCACATCTGGTACAAATATTATGACATTTTAGTGCTTCATAAAAGCAGTTACAGCAACACCATTTGTTATTTATGGAGGTAAACAGCTGTCAATCTTAAGGTCAATGCAATCTGTAAGGTGGTTCAGTGTTTGCATCCATGGTATAAAGAATGGCAATATCCGGCATGCTGTAGGGAGGAACTGTCTTACCCGATTACGCTTCCTAGATGTTATAAGCCCTGCCTGGTGGTGAAAGAATTGTGAAATGGCTGTGGAAATCATTGTTCACAGCAACAGCTTCCATGGAAGATAAACAGAACCTCTCAGAAAAACCACATAACCTTGGAAACAACCATTTTCTAATCAAGGGGTGGAAGGATGCTTTCAAAGGGACACTACTGTTGACAGGAAGTCTGAAATAGCCCCAGAACTAAAATCAGCTATTGAAAAAAACTTCTGCTTTTCAGACAATAATACGTTTTTGTTTCTAAGCTTGTTATTATATTCTCCGTCTCTTATTTGATCAAACCTCGTCATCAGTTTACTTGTAAAATGGTACGAGCCAGAATGCCTCACAAACATCAAATCATATATGAATTAAGACTCCTTTTATATTATTTTCAGACAGGGCAAATACAAGTGTTATTATGACTATGTCTAGAGACAGAAATGAAGTCTTTATAATTTCTCATATAACTATAATGAAACAGGAAGAAGTGATTCATACAGTAAGCACAAA